TTGTAACCGGAATCAGTTCAAACTTGCTACACAGCATAAGAACATCAATATGTATCAGAAAATGTAATAAAAATTTGGGATGATTTCAGAGCCATTTTTTGGAAAAAACCATGGGCTATAGCCTTGGGTACTTTTAGAATTTTGGCATTTTCTTAAAATGGCCGTAACTCAACAAGCGTAACAGGGTAAAAAATATTCCTATAATTGATTTCACCACCTTGCAAGTACAACTTGGTCATTATTAAGACTTATAGAGGCTCTCTCTACCTTATAATGCTTCTAGAGAAGTCTTTAGACAGTATCTCTATGCTCTCTTGCTGTTAGAAAGCTCTTAACTTTGTCCCATGTGTAAGCCGCCATTTTGTTTGCCGTGGCCACACCCACCACGTAAAGGAGCGTGGGCGGGTGGTTGCTAAGGCTTGTTATTTCTCCAATACAACGTGTATAGAAGAAATGTAAGTGTGGACATACAAATAAATAAATATATATATATAGATAGCGCGACCGTGAAATCAATTATAGGAACGACCTGGGGGCTACGCCCCCAGGTCGTTAAAAAATTGAAGTCGGAATCAGCTCAAACTTGCTATACAGCATAAGTACATCAATATGTACACAGTATAATTGGCCACACCCCCACTGACATCCCAATACTATTATTAACCTGAACTATACCATACCTTCATTATTGAAGAGAAGGTCTCACTCCTTGAGTCAGTGGTGGCCTCCTTCTTAAGTAAATCATCATTTAAACTGTTTATAAACTCAATGGATTTATCCTGTGAATGTATAATAAATAAATAAATAAATAAAATTATATTTAAATACATGTACATGGTAGAATTAATTAATAAATATAATTATAATTAATTAAATGTACAATGTTCACTCACCACTATTGCTATGATGTAGTCATTTCTAACTCTCTCAGTTAAAAAACTTGAACACAAACCAAACGGCCTGAAATTAATTATTAATAATAGTTACTTAACCAGTGGTTATATTAATAATAGTTAATTAACCTAACCTTAATAAAAAGGACAGTATATTTACTGTTAGTTCTCCTTCACAAATTCTCTTCTTTAAAAAATCAAACCCACCCAACCGGCCAAACAGGTTTATCAAGTCAACAAGACGACCCTATACAAACAAGTAAACATGTAAACAAATTAACAAACAAACAAACAAACAACCTTCATGTTGTGTTTATGAGCGTCAGGGAGTGGCCTCGCATACAGTAACTCCTCCCACTTCTCTCCCTAACAAATGAAACCAATACATTAATACATGTACATGTACTTTAATACCAATATCTATTAATATATTAATATACTGATAATACCAATACACGTATGTACATG